TTTGCTGCATGTAATGCCCATGCCAACAATCCTGTAAAGATGAAAAAAAAATGCAAACATTGAAAATTTGAAAATAACATAGGGATTGCAAATCAGGTAATTCATGAAGGTGAAACATAGATTAATTGTTCATAGTTATATGATTCTTCATCAGAACTCAAAATGGTGGTCCGTCCTTTGAGAAGATTAAGGAGATCCAGAGCAAGATATTAGGATGAAATAAAACATTCTGTTCTGTTTGCTAAATATAGAAATTTATCACTGTGCCCTGTGCTGTTCTGTGTCTTTCACTATGTTTAACAATACATCACTGTGTCCTTATGAATAATGAATACAATTTAAGTTGTTATTAAAATTGAATTGTGAGTATAAACCTTAGTTGCATTGAATTGTGAATTATACATTTAGCATTTCATGACGTCACTACCTAGGTTTATCTGAGCTAAAAAACTCTGATATGCCAGCTCCATAATTGCAGTCAACATTACTTACATCAACTGTTCTGCCTGTGGCTGTTAAAAGTAACAGCTGTTATATAAATGTTTATGTGCCTGGTCCCATCCTGGCACCTGTAAGAGATTACAGTGGCTTTGCACATCACAGTGCATACAGGAGGTGACTGATCCAAAGGGCTGACAGGTTTACTAACCCTCCAAAATGTGTGGCCAAAATAGCTCACCACACAGTATTGTTCCAGATTGCTGGTTGGACCTCATTTAGACTCTAGAGTCTATTTTGGGCAGCCAACCATAAGAAGGATATATTAACCTTGGAGTGCTTCCAGCACTGATTCACCAGATTAATATCTGGGTTGAAGAAGTTTAGTTATGCTGGAACCCTGGTTAAATTTGGTTTACATTACTTGGAGCTGAGGAGGCTGAGGGTGAGGTTTAAAATCATGAAATATATTGGCGACTCTTGCCTCTAATAGAAACATCCAAAATGGGGGCAGGGGGGGTGGAGTCCTGTAGCTCAGTGGTTAGAGCACTCGCTTTGCAAACGAGAGACCTGAATTCAATTCCAGACAGGGCGAAACCTTGGGCAAGTTTCCTTACTCCACACACCTAATAATAATCCCTCCAAAACCAAAAACAATAATAAATTGGTCATTTTCAATCTACGACTGTTTGTGGGACATTGCTGTGTGCAATTGGCTGCCGCGTTCGCCCACAAAGATACAGTCAATTCATTTTACAGTGTGTTCTGTGAAGCGCTTTGGAACGTCCTCCCGACGTGAAAAGCGCTATATCAAATGCAAGGATTATTATTATTATTATAGTCTTAAAATGAGAAGCTTAGCCAGATAGAACTTAAATCATAAATAATTTTTCTTTATATATAAAGTGAGATTAGATAATAATAATAGTAGCCCTTGCATTTGGTATAGTGCTGTATTGTGTTGTCAAACATGTTGTGAAAGCTTTTCACAGAATTTAACTATATTTACCAGATTTTCAGCTTTACTGTGTATTTCTAGGCATACATAGAAGCCAGGTTGCACACAACAATGTATCACAAACAGCCATAAAGTGAATAATCAATTTTAACTGAGGCAAAGAAGTTATGAAGATCAGAGTTGGGGTATGGGAAGGTGAAAGTTGAGAACATCCTCCAGCACAGAGCAAAATGGTGGTCTTTTTCAGGACTTCAGGGGCATTAAGAAAAATAAGGCCCACAGGTCTATACTCCAAGGCACTGTTGTGACAGACCAGTCAGCCAGGCTCATTGGCAGGCCAGTCACTTGGGGCAAGTGTTCTTCCCACTCCGCTGTTGTTTGTCCAGCAAGCCTATATATAGCAGATAGCATGGACTTAGCTGGACAAGAGCTTGCCAGGCAACACTTTCAAAGATTAGCTGCACGTTTTAGCTTGCTAGACTGTAGCAGCAGCTCCATGCACACTTTGCTTGGTTCTTGCTAACCTGCACGTCATACTTTTCAGAATTAGTAAGCCAGGTGCACACCTCTGGGGAGAGGGTGCACATTGCCATTCCAGAAACAGTGACATTTCCATAATAATCATAATCATAATATAAATTATAATAAATTTCTACGCATAGGCAACTTGCTAATGTGGAACTCTTACTTGGCTTTGGATACTTTTAAGCGTAGTGATGATTTCCAAGAGTGTCAAAAGCAGACCGATCAAAGAAAAGTCTTTGTTCAACATTTACAGTGGTCTTTAAAATAAAGCTACACGTACGCGCCCCCAACATCCTGCCCAGCTCCTACAATCCTTCAGTATTTTAATATAGTGACTTGTGCCAAATGAACTGGTTGCCCCCCACACAGACCTTTCCATGCTGAGCCCCTCTGCAATTGCAAATGTAAATGATCCCTTTGACCTGGGGGGGCTATGTTTGTTATATACACCACACATATAATGATCCTCAGATGCTGTTCAGCTGTCTCCATAGCCGAGTCAGCTGGCTGGAAGTAAAAGAAAATGAGTAATAATCTCCATCTGCAGATGTGATTTTGTTATAAAACGTGCGGCTTTCCTGCTGTTTGGAGAGGAAATGAAATCATTTTTCAGTCAAGAAATTCCCTGCATCGGGAAAAAGTAGACATGAAGAAGCTGAAAATTAAAATATCCTGCATTATTTAACAGCAAATGCAGTTTGCAAAGAACCTGGATAAATAATTCATTTCTGCTTGCCCCCTTTTTGATCATTGGCCTTTTCTCTCACTATGATAGCTCGGCATTTGCAATACCCTAAATCTCGCAATTTGATATTCACAAAACCAGAAGTGGCAATTTAGTATAATGGATCCGATTTATAAATGTCCCTTTTAGATCCTCATGTGTGACATTTAAAAAATATATGAAGTACACTGAAAATTCACTGATCCACTCCTGGATTCTGTCCAGGCTTACTCAATGTCTTTGTAGCTTGACTGTTTCCTGGAGTGTACTGTACTGGGAAAGATGTAACAGACTCCTTATTGCACCTGTCGCTGTAGCCCTCCTCAGGGAAGTAAGCAACAGAGTTTGACAATCAGATCTGATTGAGGATGGGCTAATCCATATTCAAATGGAATCTAAAATATATAAAATAAATATACATTTAAAAAAATTAAAATACCCAGGACAAGTAATAATTTTACTTAAAATTACTCAACGTAGCATTTGCAGCACATGCAACTGCATTGAAACTTTCAGTTTTTATTAATTTATGAGAGAATTTACCAGTCAGTTCTGTATAGGATATTTTATATCCATTACAATCACTAGACGTCCCAGAGGGTTTGGACTTGATTGACTGCCACGTGTGGCTCAGCAAAACACTATTTCATCTTAAGGTTTTTCCAAGCTTTTTTTTCACATTGTATATGTGGGAAGGAGTTTGTAATGTTTTCTTTTGGGAAAGGATTTGAAACAGGATTTACATAACTTTATTCCATCTAAATGTGTCTGGAATGACAGAAATTCATACCTAGGAGTTGTTACTGGCTGTGACCTGTCCTGTTGTTTTCTCCTGGAGGTTTGTGTTTATACAGATGTGTACATATTTGAATAAAGGAAATGAATGGTTTGTGCAGGGTAAATATTTTTACAAATGGATTGCCTATCTCCTACTGCTGCTTTTTCCACAACATGAGATGGTATGCTAACTTCACCTTCTTTGTTTAAGGAAACTATCTGCTTTCAACTTTCACTTATATAGCACCAATCATGTAAGGAGTTGCAAAGCACTTCACAAAGATGATGGGAAGTACTGAACAAGGAGAAAAGGAACAAATGGCACCGTTAAATACAGGTTTTAGTGTGGTTTTAAATGCTGAGAGACGGAGCAAGACAAAAGGATTTTGAGTGCATTCCAGAAAGCTGGGGTATAGTGGCTAAAGGTTCATCCATCAATGGCTGAACAGTAGACCACAGTTGAAAGAGCAGAGGTCATGGATGAGAAATCAAGGTAGGGAGGATTTCATTCAGGATATTGAAGTTGATCCCTGGGGTCTGGGAACCCGTTGGATTGGTGAGAATGGGGATAATGTGTGTTTGGTATTTAGCTTGGAAGAGGATCCAGGCAGTAGAGTGTGGATGACTTGGGGTTTGTGGGACATTCTGGAAGCAGAATAGTGGATGCGTAATAGTGTTTGAAGCAGAGCTGGAGGTCAAAAAAACAGAGATTACTCACTTGTTCAATCAGTTGGAGCACGCAGCCAGGGACTTTAATAACGTCAGAGCCAGAGGCGAAACAGAGCTGAAAAAGATAGTTTCAGAATTTTTAAAATTCCGCTTAAAGATTTAGTCTGTTGCAAAGATGAGAAAAAAAGAATAGTTTTAATGGTATGGTCATGGCATGTTGATTTGGGTGAATGAATATTCTCTCTGGCAAGCTTTGAGGCCTTTGTAATAATCACTTCAGTGGATTGACCAAGATCCTTGTTATGACCTTCAAATCACTTCACAATTTTGCTCTTTCTACCTTTGCAATCTTCTCCAGCCCTGTTCTCCTGCCCATACACCACAGTATAGTGTATTTGTTCTGCCGCTTGTTCTTTGTTCCTTCTGTCTCAGCGTTAGTGGAACTCCCTGTCAAAATCGCATCATGCATTTTCGTCCAAGCATTCAAACCGCTTTTCAAAACTTCGGGTTAAGGTACATTATTAAGCTTTACCCTGCATTTCATTTGAGAGGACTTGATGGCTGGACTGGCTACTAAAAGAAAGACATTTCCCTATGCTATCATGGTGTATCTTGATGGGAATCGAAACCCCAACATATAAGTCTAGTTATGTTAAAAAGTAAAAACTACTACTTGCTATTTATCTGAAGAAATATACTGTAATTCCCTAGTATTTCCTAAGAATTAATTAAACTCTAAAGTTCCCCTTTAAGGAAAATGACATCTTTGGCATTCCTTATACGGTAATTGAACAATATGTTTTTCAAATATTTTATGCAGTATTATTTGGGGTCTGAGTTCCTGGTTGCTCCAGCTAATATTATAGTGTTTTGAAACTAAAAACCACCAAATCTGCTTTCTCTTCCTAGATTGATCTTCTCAAGTTAGATATGGAGAGTGCAGAGTGGAAGATTCTAGAAAACCTAATTTTGGAAAACGTCATTGATCAAATTGGGCAGCTGATGTTTGTCATCCACCTACACTGGCCTGGCTTTGAAGTCGGCGGGGATGACAGCAGTGTAGTGCGGTACTGGTACAGCCTCCTGAAGGAACTGGAACTCAAGAACTTCAAGCTTTTTCACAGTCACAAGAATCTAAATAAGCCACAGATCTTCCTGCAAAAACGTGTGTTCAATGCTAGCAGCAGCTATACACTTAGCTGGGTCAACACTCTGTGGAGATAATGTTGAAGTAAAGACTATTGGTCAGAAACTGCATTGATCTGTGCTGTGAAAGCATTGCTCAAATGCTGCCATTTTATCCCAAATTGGGCCACACCATAGGGCTTGCATTCTCTTGCATCAGAGCAAATCATCGGAGATCAATGGCATGCAATTATTTAAATACAAAACAAAACTATTCTGAAGAATAGTGCCTTCAGCATCTGGGACCCTTTGACAGAACAGTTTCAGTAGTACTAGGTGGACCTATTTCTACATTGTCACTCTTGATCTGATTCCATGGCCTTGTTGACAGCACAGTGAGCAGAACTACTGTGCGATTTTGATATGATTAATGAAGCAGATGCATTTATCAGTCTATTTGGGTCCGTGTATAATGTGAGCAAGTTTAGTCAGCTATTACACATCTTATGAGACAAAGGTTGCTGGATGGAAGTGCAATTGGGTCTCTTTGATCTCTTAGGCATTTAAAAAGACTCAGTTCTTAGAACATAGGTCTTAGAGAAAGGTGATAAAATGGTCTAAACGTCAGATTGAAACAATGGAAATAAAAGATTCAAGCGATTCTTTTAAATGACCTCCCTTATTGCCTTTGTTCTAAATACATACAGAAGTTATTGTATAAAACAAGGAACAAGGCTTGGCAGAGCTGGAAGCCTGGAGTGGGGGAGCTGCTCAAGAATGCATTCACAAATAATAATAATCCTTGCATTTGATATAGTGCTTTTTACTTTTTCTAGATGTCTCAAAGCGCTTCACAGAAGACTGTAAAGTGAATTGACTGTATATTTGTGGGCGAAATGAAATCCTTGAGTGCGTTAAATTACAGGTTTAATGGGGGGGGGGGGAGAACAAAGGGGAAGAGGTAGACTTAAAAGTACTGCCTCAAAGAAATTCAATGTGTCTTTATCTGTAAATACTTTTACAAACATGTTTGATGCTTTGCAGCTTTCTATTCTAAGACCTAATAGAGCTCTTGCTCCAGGAATGGCTCCAGCGAAGGACCTGAGGTCGATTACATAATATACTAAGGTCTAGGTTGTGATTCAGTTTATAATGTAATCCACTAACAAGTCCACTGAGACAGTAATAAATGTATTACTTCTATCATATGTTCAAGCTTTGAAAAGTTTTAAAATGATCCATCTCTTAGAATTATTAAATACTAGTTGTGGAGACAGATGGCCAGCTCTAATGCCAAGGGTTTCCACAGTGATGCAGGGCCCAAACCATATCTGTACCATAAGGTGCAAGAGGCTAGATGTTTTCCCACAGAGATGAGAGTATTCCAGCTGTTCACACAGACACATACACATACCAATAGTTGGCTACAGAGCAGCAGTGTCAGAGGCTGAAGAGTAAATAGAATTCCAACTTGTGCTTTCAGCCTGGGATGGTGAACAATCACCTCAGCTTGCGGAGAAGATGACAAACGAGAAGGAATAAAATACTTCCAAAATTAAAAACTGAACTTGCAATCTAAATTGTGCCAAGTTAGCTGATCTCAGTCGAAGCACTGACAGAGTATTACAACATTCACTGGATTTGGGGGGAGGGAGAGAAAAAAAACAGCCAGAGGTTTTTCTCTTGGTCAAGAGTGACCTATTTTGGTACATGTGAAGCCAGAGCTGTTTTGCCCCACAACTGAAAAGCATTTCATGAAGAAGGTAGGCGGCTGACACCTGTCTAACCATAATACAATACACATTTATATATAGCACTTTTCACGTCAGGAGGACATCCCAAACTGCATTCACAGTGCCGTAAAGGCACCTGAACTGGGGATAGGAGCTGAGTGGGTGGGGAGGGGAAAGTGCAGTCAAAGAGGTATATTTTGAGATGGACCTTGAAAGATGGGAGGGAGGGAGGAAACCATATGAGCTGTTGGAAAAAAGGCAGAGAATATATATCCAGAGGTAACTACTTGTCTGTAGATAACCTCAATATGTATATTATCCAAAATACTAATCTATACTAATAAAGACAAAGTGCCTGTCTGCCTGCCTGTCTGTCAGTGTATCCGACAATCACGCAATAACCGTTGATGTAGAAACACGATTTATACCTCATTGGAAAGGTCTTGCATCTGGCAGTGTCATAAGCATATTTGGGGGGGTGGGGCGAGGAGATCTCCTATCGTTGATGAACTATATTAAAAAATGCTTTTAAGCCCCAAAATATGAGGTATGCATCGTATTCTGCAACTACGTAGTGACAGAGGAAAGCACACACCGTTCAGGGAGATACATTTATATTCTACAAATGTATGGCACTTTTTTCTGGTTGTCGTGGGAGCTAGAATCCTCCCATGTGGGACAGAGAGATTGAGAGGATGACTGAGATAGTGAGAGAGCTGGAGTCTGTGAGAGAATATATTATGAAGTGTAGTGACTGTATATTTTGTGGTAGAGAAAGACTGAGAAAGCGAAAGACTGAGAGAGACTGAGATACAGAGAGAAAATATATTAAAGGAGTCCTCCCAGCTGAGTATAATGTCTAAACAAAATGTGTGTCTGTCTATCTACATTCCATATTGGATGATTTGGTTGCAAGCAAAGCTGTAACAGGTAATAGCCAGTGTTAAATATTTTGAATGTATTGTGTTCCTCCATGGAGTCCTTAAACTGAAAGTAGAAAACAACTCTACCATTCACTGCACACAAAATGACAAAATGTCATTTTTGTTGTATAAATCGTAGAGCAGTGGGCTTTCATCAAAACCGATCTGCACTTTTTTCACACTGCATTTTGAAGCAACAACAGCGCCCAAACTAAACAACATTAGTTAGTATTGCACAGAAGTTCTGATAAAGAACAACTGTGTGATGGTTGAGTTGTTCAGGTGTTAAAACGAGGAGTGAAAAATGATATATCAGAATGCAATATTCAGAAATTATGTTTTGCGCCTTGGCCTTTTTGCAGGAATCACATTGTTTAAGTTTATAGAAAGGTCAATGAATCTGAGTTTCCAACATACCATTCAAAGTGCACATGGATTATAAGCCCTCTAGTTCAATAACCTCTTTTGTCTCCAAGGTTTCTAAAGATGAAACAAACCAACAGTATTTCAGAAAAAAAGGTCAAAGTATAATTTTCCTCTTGCAAAATGCTTTTTCTTCCCTTGTCAAACTTGCTGCGCTGACATTCTATTATGAACCTTGTCCTTTTTCGAGGTCAGCCTTGAACTGAAAGTAGAAAGCAACGTCTCCACTGAACACATACAAAATGATAAAGAGTTGTAGAAAAGTACATTTATTACAAGAATGAACAACTGTACAACAAAGGAGCTGCAGTGATAAGAAAAACTTTTGCTGTAAAGCTTGTACATTTTCCAAAACATCAAAAATAATTCTGCCATTAAAATGCACTGCATAAAAATAAGTCTTTTAAGTCTTCTCAATATGACCATAGAGATTAGAATACCAGCAATGTACCCATCTTATCTTGCCTCCAAATCCCTCCCCGATGATGCTGCTCTGCGGAGAATGGTGCACAAAAGCGGGTATTTAAGATTCCATCTTCTGATTAAACCAAGTGTCAGTCATCGGAATGAGCACTGAGCATTTGCAGAAAATCAATGTATTATGCAGACAGATTTCTGTGTAGGAGGGTCATTATGGGTGGGATTGAAGGGCAAATTCCTGTAGCAGGGTTCAAAACATAGAATGTACAGGTTCATGGCTAAAGTTACACTAATTCCAGAATGAAGGGGGAATAAAAACACCACAAAAATGTGTTCGCAGATATAACTTACTTTTATAAGTTGGTCAACAAAATATTGGAGAATGTTTGGTGCTGTAGAAGTGATCACTATAGAAAAATTCTGCAAATCTAAAGACAACGGTGACTCTCTCTTGATTGAAGTTATGGCACAATTATAAATGATGATTCTGCACTCAAGGCAATGACAGCAGGTTGTTTGGAGATATGTACAGTCCTGTAGTGGCCTTTGCACCGTATTAGCCAAAACATGAATTGTATTATGGGATAAGTGGCACTGCAAGCTATTCCGTTAGTAGTACTTGGATATTTGAAAATCCTTGATTTGAGACCCATCACAGTTTTCCTCAAAACTGCATGAAAATTGAGTTAGGTATGAACAATTTTAAATACTATATTTCTTAAGTATACTTTGTTTCAGTCTTTGATGTTTTTGTTGGAAAGGTTTATTTTGACAAGTCAGCATCAGAAGAACATTACTCTTATAAGTAAGAACTTTTTTTGGTTGTAACTGAAACTTTCAGTTAAATACACAACCTTCAAACTGCACCCAGTGATTTGTGCTATGAACAGTCAAGTCTTTACCCAGAAAGAAAAATAAATGTTCAGAGCACCTCTCAGGGTATGGGCAACAACCCAAAACAAGCTTGTTGTGAGGAATCCACAAACCATGATCTTGTTCTAGCCGATAACATGACTCGTTCATGTAATTCCATCAGTCCCATAGCTTGATCTGTCCATCCCAGCCACATGTGATAACCTTGGAAGTTTCATGTGGGTGCCAGATTGCACTGATGCAGACTTTATCGTGTGCTTTTATTCGACTATAAAGTTTTGTTGTCTTCCAGTCCCAGATATTAAGCTTTCCATCTGCATCTCCTGAAGCCACGTAACTGTTTGAACCATGAAAAAGAACAAAATGACATTTGAAAATTCATGTCAGTGGTCATTTCAAAACTAAATTCATTGTCTTGAATACTTATGATTATGATTTCTGACTTTTCAAAAATATTACATATAAAATATACAGTGACACAAGGTCTGTTGGCTAGGAAACGGCAGAGATCAGTGCAGGAGCAGCAATTTATAAATAACATAATATTTATGTATAAGCGCTCCGAGACACTGCCCGGCATGGAGGGCACTATATAAGTCCAAGTGCAAGGACATACTTGCCTTAGAGGGGGTGCAGCGTAGATTCACTAGTTTAGTTCCTGGGATGAGGAGACTGACCTATGAGGATAGGCTGAATAAACTAGGGCTATATTCTCTAGAGTACAGAAGAATTAGGGGAGATCTTATGGAAACATATAAGATTCTTAAAGGGCTGGATAAAGTAGACACTGAGGGACTGTTTCCCCTGGTAGGAGAATCTACAACCAGGGGTCACAGTCTTAAAATTAACGGTCAGCCTTTTAGAACAGAGTTGAGGAAACATTTCTTCACTCAGAGGGTAGTGAATTTATGGAATTCACTACCCCAGAAGGCTGTAGATGTTCAGTCCTTGAACATTTTCAAGGCTGAGACTGATTTGGCAGGTAATTAGAGTTAGGTCTGAAGATCAGCCATAATCTTATCGAATGGCGGGGCAGGCTCGAGGGGCCAAATGGCCTACCCCTGCTCCTAATTCTTATGTTCTTACACATTATAAATTGCTAACTACATTGTCCAACTAGATTGGCTCTACTAGATTGGCCCTATCAGGCTAACAAGGTTGAGGACATGTCTAAGTCTCCAACTCTCACTAATGAGACAAAGGGTAGTTAATGGTGAACAATACCTTTGATTCTTGCATATCTGCCTGGCTTTGTCAGACATGTCTCCTCGGAGCCAGCTAAGCTCAAGGGAGACCCTACTAATTATTTTCTCAACTAGAGGATATTTTTCAGGATGGTACTGATTTTACTGACCTCAAGAGTGAAGGACTGAATGGTCCCACATGGTTTATAACTTAGAACCTTCTAATTCCAACTGAAACAACTGTGATACCAGTGATGTTTCTGGAACAGCAAGATTTTTTTTACAGAATAAATGAAGAAAACCAGGGTAAATAGTAGAACATGCCTTAATTTCAACTGTGTGTACAAATCAATACACTAAAGAAGTACAAACTACTGTATCTAATACTGAGTTTACAAAGAAATGTGTTGCAATTTCAAAGCTTTGCTATTAAAATATATTAAATCAGATTTAGCATTCAAACATTTCAGGAATATTTTCATCAATACATTTCTTGGTAAATTCAAAATTCCCTGATCTAATGCAAATTAACATTCTTTAGCATGATATCTTTTGGATCGCAGAATTAATCACTAAACAAAGTTGGCATTTGATGACACAAAAAAGGTTCAAAAGCTCCAATATGAATTGGGAGCATATCTCGTTGTGAACCTAACAGTACGTAGGTCAGCTCATTTCAATAGTCTATTTGTTCACAGCCACAACTGCCCTTAGGCTACTCATAGCCTATGTGGAAAGTTCAATTTGAAGCCAGGACAAGTGTTTCAAAGCAAATGAATGGTGAGAAAACAACTCTATAAATACCTCAAATGAAAAACATACCTCATATCAGGTGAAAAATCCACTTGACATGCATAGCCAGCCACCATGTGGCCCTTGAAGATCTTCTTCTTATTGAGTCTAAAGCGATTTTGAGCTCCAAAGATTAGAATCTGGTTGTCCATTGATTGACAAGCCAGCCATTTGCCTATCCAGGAAATAAAAGAGAAAATAATAATCCTTTCATTTGATACAGTGTCTCATCAAGTTAACGGTCTCAAAGCGCTTTTGGGGTCTTTTTTGCTATTTGGATCTTGAGATTAATCTTCTTGTAAGCAACAATAAGGATTACACACACCGCAAGCTGACTTTACAGATACTTATGTTAGAGTAGCTTATCTGTATGAGGTACATAATTTAAAAAAATAACTTATCTCAATAGATTTAGAATAAGTTTATTAATGTCCAGGGTAATTCAGCAAGTTCAGAAAACAGATAACTTACCATTTGGTGACAATGTTACTGCTGGCATGGAGTGCATGCTTGGCTCAGCAATATACTTGAAGTCCACAGGAATGTCCCTGTAAGACAATACAGAGAGGATAATAAGGAAAAAGGCAGTTTAAAGTTCAGACTATTTAATCTGGTCTCCTTGAGCCATGAAGACAGAACTCTAGAGAACTCTGCTTCTCTTTAATATTCACCAATACATTCCCCATAATTTCAGTAGTAACTTTTGTGTAGTACACACATATACCTTCCATTTAAAACAATATAGAATTGCCCTCTGACTATCAGATTTGAGCTGAAATGCACATCTCACCATTATGTACATTTCGAAACCAAAGCAGTAAGAAAACTTGATAAACTTTATTCTTTTGCTTCTAAATATGATGAATTTCTGTATTGTCAGAACATTAACCCACTAACCTGAGATATTCTAAGAATAAATAAGGCAGCTCCTATTTATTACTTTATTTTAACAGGTCACAAATTGCTTAGTAATGGAAGGGGAAAGACAGAGACAGACAGACAAGAACCTGATTTAAAGTAATTACTAAGGTCATCACAATAGACCACTGACTGTATTGCGCCTTGGGACATCCTCCAACGTGAAAGGCGCTACACAAATGTAATTTTGTTATTTGTTGTTGATCAAATAAAAATGTTAAACCATTTTTTAAGTTTTTTTGCCTTTAAAGTGGCAATGACAGCAGGATTTTAAACTCTTACATGAAAGTCAAACATTTAAAAAAAAAGATTTGAGTTTTAAATTTTAAGATTCTCAGCCAGTAATATAACTTCAATACAGATGTGCTCAAATATTGTCACACAACACTGGTACTTTATGAGATGTGTATGCAGAATGGTTATCTATTCTTGCTTGTTTTGACTGGTCAAAGTTCTGCATTACACAAGTGGTGTATCAAATATTATGCCATGACCTAGAACCAAGACATGGCATTAGTTATACATCTCATGGCTTTCAGGTAGTGGGTGGATGCATTTTTGTTTCAAGCATGTAAAAGTAAATGTTTCATGGACAGGAAAATGTTCCTGTACATGAGTCACAACACACAAAATCAACCAGGCTAGACATGTGAAAAATTGATTTGTAAAACCGCCTTGAAAAATAAATTAGCCTATATAGACAGTTAAAGAGATGTTCTCACATTTTTACGAACCATATCATTATAAATCTTTTTACTCTGAAGAATTTCCCATGATTTTCTGTGGGAATCATTGGGCTCAATGAGAACTGGTCAGTATATTTTGGGTTTAGAATTCATGTGTAGTCACATTGTCTTTTATTGAACACATTACTTAGTATGATACTGTATATGACCCTCTATGTACTGTCTTATCTCTAAATTTAAAGTGCCATGAATGAATCATTTTTGGCAAAATTATTTTCTCTCGTGATAATCAAACACAAAGTCTCCCATCAGTAAAAGTTAAAACCAGCTCATTCAGCCTCTGCAACACTGACCAGGCGTTCTGATTTTACTAGATACTGTAATTACCCAGAAAAAAACCCACACTTTCTCCCCCATCCACCTTATATCTAGACAAAACCCAGGCCTCTTTGAAGCAGGCTTAGCTTCCACTAGTGTTCTATACATGCAACTGACTTTTTACTGAAAAGATAATCCAAATGTACAGGATTATCTAGCTCTTTTGATAGGTTCTTCCCATATGTGGATTCTTAGATATTAGTTCATTTCTGTACGACTGCAGTTTGGGTTGTAGCACAGTAAAACACTACAAAACAATACAAAACAATACCCACCACCGTTTTCAAGATCAATGCAAATCAATCTAATGAAGTGATGGTGGCTGCAGTATTTCAGCTTGTTTAACTTTAAACACAGTCAACATTGGGCTGTGAAAGATACATTTAATGTTTGTTTTATAAATTTAAGTTAACTATACACATTAAGAAATGTCACTCATAGGTATAATATTATAGCCAATCGTGAATACATTAATTGTTGATCTAGAAAGCCTTTTAAATAACATAAATAGATTCAATTGAAAAATCTAAGTTCCTTATTTATAGTATTAAAAAGTCATTGCAAACCATCCAGCAAATAATGTGGTCCCTCTCCCCTCTCCACAAAAAGGGTTTGAAAAAGGAGGAAAAAAAGTGTTAAATAAAATATATCTTAATCTTTGCATTTGTGCATTTTCTATTGACCCTATTAAATCGAAATCTCTCAAAGTGCTTCACAGATAAATTCTGTCAGGTGTAGTGAGTACGGAAAAGTATGGAAAGAGAAAAGGATCATATCATTTATCAAACATGCCCTATACTTCAGGCCAATGAGGAATTTGTCCGACCAGGAATTTTTCACAACTATTTGATCTCCTCTGAGAAAAGAAAGCAACAGGTAGGAGACTTCTGAGTAGATAAACCTCTGTGAAATTTTGTCCAGACCTGAGGTGAGTGAGAACTTAAGATATCAATCTAAAGTGCGAATCACCCTAACCAATTGCATTCCACAGATGACATTCCTTATATCCCAGTAGGACTAGGAAACAACACCATGGAGTATTTCATCACCTGTGGTTACGCTTATCTTCTTATTCTTCAACCTTCATTTCTAGTTGTAAAATATTAAATATTTGTTTTTTTTAAAGGGCCACAATACAATTATAGTTTTGGATCGTAAAGTGAATTGACTGTATATCTGTGAGTTTGTATTGCCCCCAGTAGCTGTGAGAGTTTATCCAGGTCTGCAAATAAAGTTTGGGCAATTCTAACAAGCTGTATTTGAAACATGATTGATCTGATGCAGAAATATTGCAGCTCAGTTAATTCAAGTAGGGGAACTATCACCAGCTTGACATAATATGTCAAACCATTTCCTTCTGTGCTGTAATCTTTCCAGGAATATTTGACTTGCACAATTTAAAACAAAAACATGGCATTTGATTTGAGGCTCATCTATCCCACCCTAAAAACATGCCTAAGCTACAAACTGGAAACAATACCTCATCAGGCAGTTGAGAATTTATCATAGCACACTCAATGATTTAAGGCAATACATTTTGCACAAGAAGACAGCAATCATTTATATTACACAACATACGAATGCAGAACCGACTCCTAATTCCTCAAATATAAGTAACACACCTGTCACGTGCTTAAATCCTCGGTAAATTTAACAGAGCTTTTGACACATTAGAACAACAAAATAATAATAATAATCCTTGCATTTGATATAGCGCTTTTCACGTCGGGAGGACGTCCCAAAGCGCTTCACAGAACACACTGTGAAGTGAATTGACTGTATATTTTTGTGGGCGAACGCGGCAGCCAATTGCGCACAATGGTGTGAAGATTGCTCATTGAAATGAAAGCAATGAATGCAGGTAATGTGCATTGTATAAACGGGTGCTAATGCATCGTAAAACTAAAAAGCATTTTTTTCCTCTAAAATGTAAAAGGTCTTTTCCCAGAATTTTCTTTACATCATATTTCTGTCAGTAAACTGGTGACAGAGCACAACCTTCCAATTGTGCCATCAAGTTGTCATGTGTCGGGTCTGTGCTCCAAGCAAAGTTTCCTGACCTTTGTCATGCTGCTCAAATAGGGCACTTTAGCAAATGCTAGGCATCCATTCATGAGTAAGGAATAAATCAAAAACAATTAGCAGGGAGTTATTCAGGTTTACTTTCATGTTCCAACCATGGAAAGCTCACAAACAGCCAAATAAAAACCAAGAAGCAGGTCATCTGACAAATAAACAATAATAAATTGTTCATTTCAATCCGCGACTGTTTGTGGGACGCTGCTGTGCGCAATTGGCTGCTGTATTTTGCCCACAAATATACAGTCAGTTCATTTTACACTCTGTTCTGTGAAGCGCTTTGAGACGCCTAGAAGACGTGAAAAGCCCTATATCAAATGCAAGGATTATTATTATTATTGGTCAAGGAATGGTAAGAGCACCTGGGGATGGGCTGAGTAGTTGCAAAAGTGAAGGAAATAATAATAATAATAATAATAATCCTTGCATTTGATATAGCGCTTTTCACGTCGGGAGGACGTCCCAAAGCGCTTCACAGAATACACTGTAAAGTGAATTGACTGTATATTTGTGGGCGAATGCGGCAGCCAATTGCGCACAGCAATGTCCCACAAACAGTCGTAGATTGAAAATGACCAATTTATTATTGTTTTTGGTTTTGGAGGGATTATTATTAGGCTCTGTGTGGAGTAAGGAAACTTGCCCAAGGTTTCGCCCTCTGCCTGGAATTGAACTCAGGTCTCTCGCTTGCAAAGTGAGTGCTCTAAGCACTGAGCTACAGGACTCCACAAATATAGCCAAGCCATGTTTTAAATAGGCTTAGAACAAAGCACATTCTGTTGCAGTGTGTTAATGAGTAGAATTAACAAAAGTGCAATGTCATACTTTAGAGTGATCAAAAACATTGATCAACAACAACACCCAAATTACATTTGTATAGCGCCTTTCACGTTGGGAGGATGTCCCAAGGAGCTGGATAGACAGAATTACGGACCCGAGCTGGGGTCAGGGTGGGGGAGGGTGGAGAAGCAGGGAGATCGAAAGCACGGTCGAAGAGGAGGGTCTTGAAGATGGTGACGGAGGGACTGCGGATGGCGTTCCAGAGGGTGGGTGCAGCGTGGCGGAAGGCCTGCCAACCGACAGTGGGGCGAGCAAGGCGGGGGACGTGAAGCAGGCTAGAGCCTGCTGAGTGGAGGGAGTGAACAGGGTGGTAGGGGGTTAGGAGGTCGGAGAGCTAGGGGGAGCAAGACTGTGGAGGGCTTTGAAAGGGAGGACCAGGATCTTGAACTGTATCCTCTGTGTGATGGGAACCAGTGGAGTTGGGCAAGGATGGGGGTGATAGGGTCACGGAGTCTAGTGCAGGAGAGGACACGGGCTACAGAGTTCAGGATAAACTGCAGCCTGTGTAGGGAGGAGTTGGTGAGGCCGACAAGCAGTGACTTTGCATAGTTGAGCCTCGATGTAATGAAGGCATGTATGAGGGTTTCAGCAGCCTGCGGTGGGAGACAGTGTCGGAGCTGGGCGACATTGCAGAGGTGGGGGAAGGC